CAGTAGAATCAAACCCACTGTAGACACTGAGCCTTCCGAACCGAGCACGCTTAACAGTCAATCAATATTAAAAAAATGGACACAGTGAAATAATATCAGAATGTTAAAACCTTTATAAGTTACATAGAACTGATTCATGTTTAAACAACGCGAAATCTGCAAGTGTTCTTATTTATTCCCAAAAGACAGTTTCCTAATTAAGAAGTATAAAAACGATAACCTTTTAACCACGAAAACAAGTGAAGCAATCTAAATTTGATCATATCCTCCCAATCATGTATTCATTGAATAACGAAAAGCACTCCGTCTTATGAATATTATACGCAATATTGAACCAAAAGGAAAAACAGTGATGATGCCGTCCCATGTATATATATTGAGTTTGTGGAATAAAAGAAACCACATTGAAATATACTGTTGGATTTATTGTTGCTAACCATTTGATTCAACTTAAAACATCATTGGTAATTACTAAAGACATATAAATTCATTTGAATCGACCAGAAACAAAGATTTAGATAATAACTAAAATGATGGTTTGAAGCGTATATAAACCGGCTGGTTAACGTTTGTTTCCAATTCAATAGACATGGCGTCCGGTATTTGTAAAGCACTTTGAAGCTTAGTTGAACCGATTATTAAACAACAAGCCACTATGTACTGGTAAATAGGGAATACACATTTATCAATTAATACGTCATAGTTATATTAACTAATACACATAGCGATTAAATAACGTATAATTAAAACAATTTGTATACATTGTTAGACTAGACGGTAAATAAACCCACTAATATATGGTAAATGTTTGGTTCTAATATTTGAGGAGTTAACATAGTTAAAATGTGTAACAGACAATTTATAGACATATTAGTGACTGAGTGCAACATGTTTTATTCCTTTCAATAAAACTTGCATATAACTGTTTTTATTATTGATCATACACACATCAAATGTTGTTTAAAATGCTACTGTTCTGCTCCGACCGGGCTCTTGGAGACGGGCGTACGCAATACAATTTGAGGGAAATTGTCTCCAGACAGCGATCATACGGTCTACTCTTACACATATTTCGAATTCCATGGGTACTTTTACGTGCATCCCAATGTGTAGATCTCAGTTTTTCGTCTCATCCAAACGACTAGACACTGTATTGTTATGGTATAAAAGAATAATTAACGCCACAACCTGTCAGTATAAAGTATATCGGTGTATGAGTATATCCTTTGTTAGAAAAGTGGAAGAAATAATTTCCGATTAACCTCTGACAATGTCTAGACGTATAAATAATATTATAGAATATATACAATAAACGCTCCCTTCATGTCTTTATTAATCTTCTTATAATTCAGACAGGGAGATGTTATTGTATAAAACCTATGATTACTAATAAATATTAATTAAAACTAAAATACAGGTTTAAAAGAAACAAACTTTGAATGTAGATTAAACACAAACCGGGCGAAACATATTTTCTTTTGATGTATATTCAGAATTTGGAGATATAACACAATCTCGGGTAATGTATATTCGGAATTTGGAGATATAACACTATCTCACGTGATGTGTATTCAGAATTTGAAGATAAAACACAATCTCAGGTAATGTATCCAAACCTATATATGTTCCGAAGAAGACGTTTTATTACTGTAAAAAGTTTTAAAACTCCAAATTTTTTTATATGCATAACGCATTTATTTTATTGGACTTATTTGACGTAGTTTGTTGGCGTTATTGGAGGTGACGTGTTGGACTTATTTGACGTGATATGATGGACTTATTTAAGATGATTTGTTGGACTTACTGGAGATGATATTTTGGGTTGCCGTACGCATTCCAAACATTTAGTACAATTCGTTCATAGTTCAACGTAGATAAGAAACCAAATTCCACAGGTCTAATCTTAATGTCTCCCTTCCTGCATGCAGTACTTAGTCGTTTTTTGGCAATTTTGCGGTCAAGCGGTTCGAGTGCAACATCCGAATTAAGCATCTTGAGTTAATCTCTTAATCTTCGGTCTCGGAATACGGTTATGGTTTCGTGATATGTTGGACTTATTTGACGTAATATGTTGGACTTATTTGGCGTGATATGTTGGACTTATTTGACGTGATATGTTGGACTTATTTGATATGTTGGACTTATTTGGCGTGATATGTTGGACTTATTTGACGTGATATGTTGGACTTATTTGACGTGATATGTTGGAATTATTTGACGTGATATGTTAGACTTATTTGACGTGATATGTTGGATTTATTTAATTGGCGGTATGTTGGACTAATTTGACGTGATATGTTGGGACTTATTTAAGGTGTTTGACTTGTTTAGTATCATTTACAGGACTTCGTTTAATGTCAAATGCAAAATATTTATTGAACAAAGAAAAACTTGAACCAAATAAATGTTGTTTTTTTTATAACGCGGTGAGGCTAAAACTACGAATGGTCGTATCCATTAAAATTATGACGGCCACAAAATAGATTATTAAATATTTCATACTATCATTGGTAGATAATCTCCAAGCCTTGATTCCTTGAATTACAAAGAGACCTGTTAAAATCTGTTTAGCGAGGATATCATAGATGGTACTGACGTTTGCTAACCAAATCCCGTTTATATCGTTTGTAATAGAGGATAACGAATGTTGACAAAATGATCAATTTATCACAAATCCCGTTTATGTCGTTTGTAATAGAGGATAACGAATGTTGACAAAATGATTAATTTATCAAAATATTGTAAATACTGAAAGGAATCAAACCCCTTTTGAATTGATATATCTTTCAGAGATCAAATTTTCATTTTTTTTTTAATTTTTAATTTACCCGGGATTAAAAATGTCTCGAATAACACCCACAGTCTTTAATATTAAATAAATACACTGAGTATAATATGTAACTGTATTGGAGTATATAATCAAGTGAAAATATTTAAACTTTATATTGAACGAACTCTAACTTTAGTATATATTTATTATACATACCCTAACTTTAATATCTATTATACATACCCTAACTTTAATATCTATTATATATACCCTAATTTTAATATCTATTATATATATATACCCTAACTTTAATATCTATTATATATACTCTAACTTTAATATCTATTATATATACCCTAACTTTAATATCTATATTATATACTCCAACTTTATTATCTATATTGTATACCCTAGCTTTAATATTTCTTATATATACACTCTAACTTTAATATCTGTTATATATACACTCTAACTTTAATATCTATTATATATACTATAACTTTAATATCTATTATAATATCTATTATATATACTCTAACTTTAATATATATTATATATACTCTAACTTTAATATCTATTATTTATACTCTAACTTTAATAAATATTATATATATACCCTAACTTTAATATATTTTATACATACTCTAACTTTAAAATCTATTATACATATCTATTATATATACCCTAACTTTAATATCTATATATATACTCTAACTTTAATATCTATTATATATACTCTAACTTTAATATCTATTATATATACCCTAACTTTAATATCTATTATATATACTCTAACTTTAATATATATTATATATACCCTAACTTTAATATCTATATTATATACTCCAACTTTATTATCTATATTGTATACCCTAGCTTTAATATTTATTATATATACACTCTAACTTTAACATTGTACATACTCTAACTTTAATATCTATTATATATACCCTACTTTAATATTACACAAATTTAATATCTATTAATTCGACGTCTTGATCTGGTATACAAATATTAATATTTATTACACATTTCTTATTCATAGATCCACACAAACTGTGAGTGTTTTATTTATATAATGTGCTAAAATAAAACGGTAAACAGCAGTGAGTCGACACTATGTATCTTCCATTTGTACTCTCGACGGACTAGTCTTAAAATAAGTAAAATAAATATATGTAGCTGAAAACTTTGAGTCTGTCCTTTTGTAACATGAATAAAACAAGATAGGATAAAAATGACTTAAAACATTATTATGATAAAATCGTTGTATTCCTTGTTAGCAAAACAACATAAAACTTCGAGTCTTCCATTTAGTTCAATAGCTAAAAACCTAACAATATGGTAAAAAGTGACTTAAATCTTAAAGCCTTTCGTGTCTTTTGGGGGTTTAAAACAAACACCAAGGAACGTTATTCCTTTCTATTAAAGTGATATAAAACTTTAGTTCTTTTCGGTTATATTTTGTGCTAAAATCCCCCAAAAGTATATACTGTAGAAAGAAGTAACGTAAGATTTCAAGTCTTTAAATTTCTGAGTTTGTACCATGAGCTAAAGTAAAACTATAAATATTGTTGTAGTAACTTCCAACTCAGAATATTTCGCTTCTTCCATTAGCTACAAATCCTAAAATGTGGTACAAATGATTTAAAACTTTGAGTCGTTCGTATATGTCATAATATGGGCTAAGACATACATTAAAGTGATTTGAACTTTAAATTAAGCCGTTGCGTTTTAAACCAATCCCAATAAATATTGTAATAGTAACCCAAAACTGAATATTTAGTTTATTCTATGGACTAAAATCAAACGTAAAGAATAAATAAACTACAAATATTATTGCACTGTGAATTCAAACTTTGAATCTTCGGTTTATGATATGGGCTGACACAAATCTAAAGAATTTGCGTTTGTGTCAGCATTTAAAAACCTAGAACTTTGAATGTCGCGTTTAGGATATGGGCTAAAAGAAACCTACAGATCGGAATCATTTGTTTTCGTTTATATTTTCTGCTAAAATAAAACAAAAAGTATTGTACTAGTAACTTCAATCTTTGAATGTTTCATTTATGATATGGGCTAAGCACACCCTCAAGACTTTGCATTTGTATAATAAACTAAAATACAACTAATAGTGCTAACTAATAGTGCTAGTAACTTAAAACTTTGAATGTTTTGTTTATATTTTGTATTAAAATAAAAGTAAAAGTTTATGTAAAAAGTAACTTACCAGGTCGGGCGTTTATAATCCAAACACTAAGTAATGTTAATATAGTAACACATGTTCTATAAACTAAGTTAGGTATAGCCATACTGTTATTGGTACCGATAATAATAATCCAAATGACACATAATTGTACTCCTGAGGCCACCCATTTAAATTAAAACACTTCCATCGTTTCTTCATTCAACCTGCGAAAAGAAACAGAACAAATCCTATAAACATTCAATCGTTAAATAATAGAATCGAATCGAATCCAGTGGAATAGCATCTCGGGGGCCCCACGCACATCAAAACAAGAGCGGCGCGGTTTTCTCAGATAACTACACGGTGAAGTGCCACTAGACGAATGATTGGCATTTCTTGGTGAATACCAGGAATCGACGTAGCAGACGTTTTAACATGCACAAATTATCCGTGTATTATAAGCGGCAACAAACAGTGTTCAATCGTCGTTTAAGTCAAGGGAAAGCTATGTATTCAATGTTATTGTAGTTTTATATACACCACTATATATGTATGGCAAATAAAGATAACTCCACAGTCCAATATTTTTCTATACAGTAGAACGGATCGATTCAGGCTTTTATACATGTAAGGGGCATAACTTTAAACTTTTATTATTTTTTCTGGGTTTTATTCCTTCGTATTGCCAGTTTGAATTCGATATAAGAGTATGCCATAGGGTCGTAGGTCACTGTCCGGCAAAAATGTCCAACATATCACACTACATGGCGAATGCCCGTGTTCATCAACTCAGCCATAGCAGAACAGTAGGACGTTAAACTTCACATCCACACATCAGCATCATCCGTTAGAATGATTTAATGGTAATCCCGATATCACGATGGGTGTCGTGCAGAGTATGCTTAATATCTTTATTGTATCAATAATGGTGATGAACAGAGTATGGTTAAAATCTTTATGGTCCAAATAATGGTATATAGTTAATATATATATATATATATGATACATGTAATGTGGTATATAGTATTATATATAATACATGTAATGTGGTATATAATATATTTATAGAAGTCAATAAACTCGTAACGAGTATAATACATATGATATAGTATTCATGCACCTGTCACACAACTCTCATCCACGGAAATCAACATATTTATTTGAATAACTTTAATAAAGAATCATATAAAATAAATCCATATAATAAATCAATTCTAATTAAAATGTGATCCCTGACAACAACTAATCTTGAAAATATTAATAATTTGCTATTAAAACAGTATAATGATTTGGTTAAAGCTGTATTTTTGTGGTATTTTATGCTTGACATTAAGTTGTGGGATTGTTCAAATTACAATATTTTAAATACCGAATGACTAAAAGGGATCGGAATAGAACAGGGTGTTGGCGGGTATGTGTTTGTAGATGGGGGGGGGGGGGGCGTTGCGGGTGTACAGATACGATCGTATCAACCTAGGATTTTTTGAAACCTCCATTTTAATAAGGGATCTTTTGCGTAAACTATGATTTTGTAAACGAAACCTTGGTTTTTTGGTTAGTACACACACCCCTGTCTTAATCCCGCGGGTAGCACACTTTTCAATTGTAACCAGCTTTCGCGCCGGGTTGGCTTGGTTCCTTCTCCAACAATTACTATCTAGTTACTACCTATATAGTTCATCGTTTCTCATTAGACAGAAGCCAACAAAGTTTTTATCGGGGGTGGGGGTGGGGTGGGGGCGAATGGTTAGCACGAGCGCGCTGTATCATAAGGCCTGTCATTGAGTCAACTGGCGAGCAAGGAGTAGGGTCGCCTGTCCAACCTTGTGGGTTTTCTCCGGGTCCTCCGGTTTCCTCCCACTAATGAAGACACCTACGCGCAAGCGAATTATTAAAATAAATTGAAATATATATTAGTCCCGAAATGGCCTAGTTTGTGTCGAGTGGAGTGGACTTTAAACCCCATCTCTCTCTCTCTCTCTCTCTCTCTCTCTCTCTCTCGCCACGTCGATAACATAAATAAATGTATGTTCTATAACATCGATCTCGGTTTTATCTAGACAAATATCAAAACATTAACTGGCTTTACCAAATACAATTATTTCTACATTTCCTTAAAACACTGCTTATAGGATGAACAAAACATTGTGGGGCTATTTTAAAACAATATTTCAAATTGCGATATAACGTTTTTTTGTTGTAATTATAGCAAATAATAGTACCATTAACGCGTAAATTACCCAAAAACTAATCAAGTTAAAAAGTGAAATTGGTTGATTTATTGGCTTGTGTATCCAGTTGATTAGCCTTAAGACAAAAGTAATTGGCGTGTCAACTTTTATGTCAAATAAACATGCAATAGTTGGAGATAAAATGTGAAATAAAATCCCCCGATTGTTGAGCGTAATAAAGTATTGTTAACTTTGACTACAGTCCATTTGATAATAGTATCGGTTTGATCGGGATACATGTAAAGCTCAAGAGTACGTGCCGATTTGGTTAGGGAATTGTGTAATCGAGTTGGCAGTAATAAAAATGGCTTCCTACCAAAACACATCAAATGACTAGCAATTATGATTATTTTTAATTTGAGAATAAAGAACTGTTTGAAGCCGAGCCTAGCATGGTTTGATTGGGGAGTCTACACAGCTATTTCTATAGACTGGATGACCTGCTCTAATACGTCAGACTCGCTCCTGCGTCACTCCTTTTCTGACTTGCGTATTGAAGTCAGAATAGCGCAGTGACGTAGGAACCAGCCTGACGTCATTTAGAGCAGGTTATCCAGTCTACTATTTCTACAGAAGTAAAATAGAGTTTAACGTCCTATTTTTGTTCTTCAATCTGGTAAATGAGGAGAACGCTAGATCGGCGACGGTCCTGCACATTTTAGCACATATGACGTCCATCATATGTGGGCGTCATGTGGATTGTGGGTTAGGGTTAGGATCTGCAGATTTCGTCAAAGTCTCGAGATGTAAACAGTGCTAGCGCTAACCCTAACCCTGGGCCAAGTATATATTGCTTACAATGTCTGTGTAGTTTATCTTGAAGGAGATTTGTCTTATTTGTTTTGTTTGTGTTTAGTGCGGCCCCGTCTGAACTTACTATTACATGTATATTATCACGCAATGGCCATTTACTATTTCATGTATATTACCACGCAATGACCATTTACTATAATATTATCACGCAATGGCCATTTACTATTACATGTATATTAGTACGAAATGACCATTTACTATTACATGAAATGGCCATTTACTATTACATGTATGTTAGTACGAAATGACCATTTACTATAATATTATCACGCAATGGCCATTTACTATTACATGTATATTAGTACGAAATGACCATTTACTATTACATGAAATGGCCATTTACTATTACATGTATGTTAGTACGAAATGACCATTTACTATTACATGAAATGGCCATTTACTATTACATGTATGTTAGTACGAAAAAGCCACTGCAACTTTATTTCTTTCTATTCTCAATTCAATATCTTATAACATAACAAGACTGAATGTGAATAATTTGTAGAGTTGCGGCGAGAAACTCGAGTCGGAATCCACCATTCATTCTTTCATTTAAACTCTGTCACTTTTCTTGTTAGCTTAATTCAATTCAATTATTTCACATGGTTTTCTCTCTCCCGTTCTATGGTTGTCAGCTGAATGGGATGAATGAAGACGTGAATGAAATATTTTGAAAGTTGATGGCACTAGTATTATTATTAGAAGAGGGATAATTTGAGATGCACTGAATGTATGTCAAATTCGTGATATTCTGTTCGTGTTTTAAAGCCCATTTTTTTTTAAACCATATTTTTATTCAGGTTGACTGAATGGGATTGGGGAACAGGCTTAGCCTATGTAAAACCCCTCTCCCGTATTAAACGTGTATATAAAATACATGTCCACATTTCTCAAATTAGATCTATTTAAAGGTGTATATAAAATACATTGTCCATATTTCTCAAATTAGAACTATGTAAACGTGTATTTTAAAGGTGTATATAAAATACATTGTCCATATTTCTCAAATTAGAACTATGTAAACGTGTATTTTAAAGTTAGAAGTATATAAACGGAATATAAAATACATTGTTCCCAACCATGTCGTGTGTCGTGAACGAGACATAGAACATGCGATACCACTTCACGGTTATTACTTGACAAAACCCCCCACAACAACCAAGCAATCGATTTCTCGGTCTTATAAATGTTTTCGGTTATTGTGATAAAGACAAATATAGAGGACCCGGCCACGAGTTCACAAAGCATTCTCAGACTCAGAATTTACCCAACTTTCCATCATTGTTTATGAGAAATATCTTTGATCCAGAAACACAAAACTTTGCGCATAGTTCTTATTGATGTATTTGATACATTAAAACAACAAAAGTTTTATAAAGGGCTATATTTTAGTTATAATAAGGTGAACAAGTTTGAGTAAATTCTTAACTTAAAGATACATTATGGGAGATAAGATAAAGAGATGGCAGTTCTCGCTATCATAGTTAAAAACTAGATAGTGTAAAGGTAATTTGCTGAAGATTTCAGTCAAATTGATCCACTATGAGCCGAGAAAGAAGCCGGTAAAATTTTTGCATAGTCTCGGTTATCATTACTAAAATCATTAATATCAACAGCATAGTTTCGATTATCCAATTTTTCTGATTTAATTATCTTTGGCCGTTAGCGGCATATAGGAATCTAACCCAGCCTACATCGAAGGCTAGCCTTGACATCGAGAGTTTATTATGGTCTGGATAAGTTAATCAATGTCTAATTGATAACATTTCAGGCCTAAAGAAAGACTTGTAATAAGCAGATTTTGCTCTTGCATAATGTATGTTTAAGTCTGAGAATGCTTCTTGAACTCAGGGCCTGGTAAATGTTCACGTCAACGTTTTTAAATACTTCTATAATAAACAACCAACACTCTGTTATATGCAGACGTAACCAAGTATTTAAAATTATTCAATTAATGTCAGATCTTTAGACATATTTATATTACCTAAATAAGATAATAGCATATCTGTGCACCGGGGCACGTTTACATAAGACGGAGGTGGTAAGGAAAATACAGATATTTTAAAATAAAACCCCACATACCAAGGTGCATATATATTAAGATGAATAGACAGAACGGGGCATAATGTGCTATAACCATGTTAAAATACAGACTATAACCACTGTGTGATGTGATATAA